CCCAAAGGAATTCGTGAACCCCACTCAGCATACAATAACAGATAAGCGTTAGGTAGTCCGCCTGAAGAGTGACAGCCAGTTCGTCATTGGGATCCGTTATGTGCCATGTCTGTAGAGTTCCCAACCACCCAGGAAGACGCCAAACCCTCAGCCGTCAATTTGACGGTAGTGGGCTTTATTTTGCGCTGTCACTCTATGGCTTATCACCCGCCAACAGGGATTTGGAGTAGGAAACAAGAGTATTCGGTAGACGAAGGTCCAGCATACGCAATGTTTGTCCTGAACACCTTAACCTGACAGATCTTGGACGTATCCAACTCATTACACGGTTAGCGCTTGCAGATCGTGCTTATAACTGCACACTCATCCTGTTATCATCCTGTTGTACTACAGAGACACTGCTGATCGAATGTTCGAAAATGTGTGAGGCCTTCAGATAGGAGGTTCCAAGTTTCACAGTCACGTGGTAGGACGGCTCTCACGGCCGTTTTACGAACATGGCCCATCGGCCTCAGTGGTATTTGTTTCTGAATCCCGAGGCAACGCGAGTCGGCAAATATTGCTGCATGGTGATGCGTGCACCAACTTCTCTGTCACGATGCAGTAACGCTTTTTTTTGCAACTTCTAGGGTAAGTGAAATGCAAGTTATTCATCGTGAAATTTAGAGGAGGTACACGGGAACAGGAATTACTGAGACCTCACACGTTGAAGGTGCAGGCTGCATGCCGAAACAGGGGATCACTCTCCATATTCTGTTTGAGGGTGTTTGTGCCGATGAACTAGTGTTAAAAGATGACAATGTGGTCCGCACCGTTTAAGTTTACGCTTGATCGGCACGCTCTATGATGATGAAATTTGGAAATGGTGTGGAGAGGAGACATCGCTGGTGAACCCCATTAGTTATAGGGAACTTTTAAATAGCTCGTTGTAATACGTATGTATGCAGACGAAAATAACTGGCATATCTGACAGCGAACAACTGTTCATATCATCGAACAGGAAAGTATTATGCTACTCAGTCATGAAAAGGGCGTCTTTAGACAAACAAGCAATACATGTTTAACTACTGAGTGCTATCCTGGGCCATTCTTACCAAAGTTTCTAACCGAATATGGTCGTCTTTTGGTCCAGTCGGGGAAGCCTACACGATCTGACGAAGAACAGTCGAGCTGTAAGATCCTTCATGTTTCAGTGTCAGGTAATTCTTTGACTCTCGACGATTAACCAGTCTTGCACCGTCAGTGCGCTGCGGCGACAGCCGTTGAGTTGTCATCTTTAATTCTTACCCTGATCATTGGAGTCGATGATATCCACCCGTTCACTTTCATGTGTCGTCGCAGCTAGGTACTGATTTCGCTGCTGCCAGATGTGAAATGCTTCATAAGCAACTGTGGTCAAACGCTGTGAGTCGTCTGATTTCTTCGGGTTGTAGAGGCCGTGTTTCACATCCTTATGGAAGTGTTAAACGAACGAATGCGTCATTCACTTAACTCTTCATTGAGAGGTCGATTTCGCGCTGACACCAGGTGTTGAAGATCTTTGAAGGTCATCCTAGCCTTAGCAATGCTCAGTGCGATAGTTAGATCTCCGTCTGTAGATATCCGACTCAGGTACGTAGAGCGGTTAACAATGGAGTCCACAATTGCAGGTTTAGATCAATCGTAAGCGAGGATTTTCCACCGTGCCAAAATGTTTTAATTCCTGTGTGATACTCAAGTGTTCCGTATGAATTAGATGTCATCTGTTATCATCCCCATCATTGAGCATTTGGGTCAGAAGTCTACTGTCAGTTGAACTGGGCCTTGAAGTCTTCTGCCCAGCTGCAAACCCGTCGGTGAATATATTGATGATATTTCACTTCACAGATCGCGTCAAGGGCACACGGAGTCCCAGAGCCGACCGATTTAGCTAGGCGCAAGAGTTTACTATTAACCCCCGTCGGCTACTTTACTTCCATCTCTCTCGCTCGCCGTTTGCAAATCCTCAAGCTGCTGGACAGCTGACGGTTAAGCTCCTGACTTTCTTTGTTGTGAAAGTGACCCGCCAGCATAAGTATTCGGAGATCTAGTAACTGAACCGAAGTGGCCGATGTCCACTGTCCAGCTGACACTCCGCAAACTCTAGTAACAACAACTGTCTGGTATGTAACCACTGGTCCTCAGGGCCGGATGTTGCGCTTGGCCTAACTTGTTGGATGACTTCCGTAGTACCTGACATCAAGCCGCTGAAATCCAATTTATCAACGGTAATAGAAACGCATGGATATCACATGTTCAGTGGCCTGCTCGGGTGTACACGTGTCCCATTGCGATCAGCGCTTTCTCACAGAACTTCTCCGACGTTAGCTTACCATCTAGTCGCTTTTTGTCCAGCATTGCCATGTATTTTGTGGACGCCGATTTGCTAGGTGCTCTCTTCTGTGTCGAAAGTTCAGACTAGCTCAAATGGCTATAGCGCGAATTCACTGACCGGA